AAGCTATAACACATAGGTTGAATGATAGAAATTTGTGAAGTTATATGAGAATATTATACGAGTTATATGAAATTGAATTAAGTAAACAGATTAGATTGTACATAAGAAATAATAGAAGTGAGATGTGTTTATAAGTCTGACAGAGATGATATGAATAGAATTATAAGAGTGCTATATGATTTATATTAGGATAAATTGAGGATATATATATATATATGAAATGAAATGAGTTATATGAATACATAATTATGTGATGAAATGGTGGATTACCTGAACATGTGAATATATATAGGTCTAAGAGAAGGCATAAGATTAAGATATAAGCAATGTGACTATAAGTATATATATATGTGCTCTAAGTAATATGACTTATAGGTGTTTCTATTAATATGTTACATAATATGTTATGGATGTTAAATGAATTATGTGATGGTATAAGAAATGATATGATATATATATATATATGTGAAAACAAGTATATGTTATGAGATAAGACTTATGATTATAAGCTACGTGAAAGTGTTCTAGGTGTTTCGATGTATTATATGAAGTATATGATCTTATGTGAACAAGATACGATAAGTATGTTTATATGAATAAAGGTGATTGGGTGAGAAATGATAAAAATTATATGAAAACATGACATATGTGACATGTGAATTATATGGAAATGATCTACGTGTAAGTGAACTACGGGACTATGTGATCATATGAAAAGAAGCTATGTGATAAGTGATATGTGAAAGTGATTACAAGTTTATGTGAATATTTGAAATGATAAATGATAACGCCCATGTTATGTGTCATGAGAGCTAGGGGTATAGTTGGCATGCCAAGAGTCGAGGGTCTACGCGGTTCTTAGGGACATATGTATATTCTTTGGAACCTGTGTGAAGTCTGGAAAGACACATACTTGATCCCTAGCATATGTATATGATTCTTACAGAATTCTATGTGGTCCTTATGGACATTATTATATGGCACTACGGTGCAATTCTACTCAGTTCTTTAGGACATATGTATATCCTTTGGAACCTGTGTGAAGTCTTGAAAGACACATACTTGATCCATAGTATATGTATATGATTCTTAAGGAATTCTACGTGGTCCTTATGGACATCATTATATGGCACTACGGTGCAATTCTACGGGGCACTTCGGTGCATTTATACGAGCTGTGGTGACAGCATAGTGCACAACCTCTATAGACTCACATATCGATAGTTCTCACATATATACATGGGCTAATCCAGAGATATGAACAAATATAAGTTAGTGGTATGATAAATGCTATAGAAATGATATGATGTTGTGTGTGTATAGTGTTTGATTGCAATAGTATGTGATTATATGATAAACTGTTAATGATGAATTATGTGTATGCATGTATTTACTGCAATTAATCTGATATGATTTTATACGATATGAAAAATGCATGAAATTGCTGTAACATGATAGAATAGAACATGCATGTATCAATATAGGTTTTAAAGTGCATTATAAGTTGTTATGCCTCACTAAGTCTTCGACTTAGCGTGTGATTGTTTCACACGTAGGTTTCGAGAAGAGTAAGGAGTGATGCGGGGCAAGACAGGTCAGTTTTCCTTACCAAAAGATCAGATCAGAAATATTGGACAAAGTATGTTTTTGGTTATGTATAAAGTGTTGGCATGTAATAAGTCATTAAGTACGAGCACTCTGATAAAGTCTGTATTTTGTTTTAAATAAAGTTTTAAATTTCCCGGGATTTTTCTTAAGAGTCAAGGTTTAAAAAGTCAATGTGACACTTCGGACTCGTATCCGGGTCGGATACGGGTTGGGGGTGTTACAAAAATCATTACACATTACTGTAGTCGGGCTGTCAACTTGATCAACTTGTTCAGCCAGCCCATAGTGTGAGCTTAATGGTTGACCCCGAACAGCACACACTTGAACAAACTTTGCATACATCTCAATATCGCCGTCTGAATAATTACTTTGAGAATCGACCATCATTTCAACATCATCATTGTTCGATAGTTCGAAAGCTGTATAAATTAATGGCAACAATGATGTTGGAAATATGTACTGCAACGACGACATTCTTCTACTACTTCCAACATGAACCTTCCTCGAAATCTTCGTTATCAGCTCGTCAAGAGTTATGTTTCTCTTGAATGATATTTTAACACGCTCATTTGATACGAATACAACGCCGATTTCATTTTCTTGAATTTCTCCATCATAATAAACAATAGCTGAAAGTCGCGTCATTCTTAGAGTTTAAAAGTGAAACAATATTATATCTGCAAAAAAACAACTGAAACAAACCTGATTAAATAAATAATATATGACCAAAAATATAACAGAATAAATTTTTTACACATAAACGCAAATAATTTAAATAATATAATTTTATTATTATTACCTGCACGGCAAAAATATTTCGACGTATGCATTTTCTAATTCTACAAACACATAAATTAATTGAAAACAATTAGTATAATATTTTTTCAAATAATCATATATAACTATAAAATAAATATTATAACAAAATTACCTTATAACGAAAGATCGAGCAAACTTCTGAATCAAATATAAGATGATTGTCGGATGTTATTTACTTATTCAAAGGATTGTTGGTGAGAGTTTACAGGAGACAACTATTTATAGCCGAGAGAGGATGCCTTAAAACCGAGAAGTTTAAGAAAATAATGCAAGGCGCGGTCCTAGCACCGCGCCTTGCATTATGCATGTTTGATAATTGAGATAATTGAATAGCGCGGCCCCTGTCCCGCGCTATATCTTACGTGGCGTAAGGCGCGGCCCCTGCTCCACGCCATACACACGTGTATCCATGTCAGCATAAGGCGCGCCTTACCCCACGTGGCGCCAAATCAGCGTATAACGCGCTGCAGAGGGCGCGCCTTACTGCAAAGGGTGTTAAATAAAAAAATATAGTCTAACCGGTGCCTGATCGAAAATATTAAATTAAAAAGATAATTTTTCGAAAAAAAGCCCATTAAAAGAGCTTTAATAATTTAATCACAAGAGAATAATTTATCCTAAAAAAAATATTTCCCCTCCAATGCTATCATTATTAAAGTAGAACTAATATTTCTTACTGTCATTATTTATTTTTGCTTTTTCACATCGGGACTTTGGACATATCATAACAATGATTAAGCCATAATTAACAAAATCATGATCGGAGATAATGCATCTCTTCATTGGGATTTCATATACAGATAAATTGTTATCCATTAAATTAAAAAATGATAATTACTGAATTAACGTTTAATTAATTAGATTGATAATTTAATTGGTTCGATCATAAGTCCGATCGTATAATACTATTCATAAAGGAAGAATTTTACATAAATGATATTCTAATAATTTAGTATTTAGGTAAATCGCGTTTTTGATAGCTTATATATACTTATGATTTTATTTTAGTCATTCAATTGTTTCTTTAAATTATACATAAAATTATGTTTTATTTCGTTTTGATTACTTGTTTTAAAATAAACAGAACTATAGATGTGATAATTTTTATTTTTCAATGATAATGTGGTATTATATTATGATGATATGTCAGTATCACCATTAATTTTTTAACGCCAAAGTATCAAAATATAACTAAAACATAACGTTAAGTATAATTTTAAAAATAATTAATTAAGTGATCAAAATAAATCCACGAGAATATATGAATACTTAAATATGTAGTTTACCCTTAATAATTTAAAGGTTGGAAAATTGTAGTACAAATATTTTTAAAATAATAAAGATGGGTAATTAGGGTAAAGAAAAGAGAAAAAGGAAGACGCAATCAAAAGTCAGAAGCTACCACACGAACAAAACACGCGTCGTTTGCAAGCAGATTCTATGTACTCGTATGACGACATAAATTAAATTTTTCGTTTTTACCCCAAAAAATATATATTTTCGATATTATAATAATTATTATATTTAATATTATTCGACGAAGGCCAAAATAGCCCAGTCCCCCAACAGGGCATCTCGCATTTAGGGATGGCAATAGGGTGGGTTCGGGTTGAGTATTGATCTCCTATTTTTGTCCTTGTTTAAAAAATGGGTATTTGTTCCTGTTTAAAAAATTTCGGAGATTTAAACGGGGATCCTCATCGGGTAATCGAGGAAAATCGTAGGCGGGAAAAATCGCGGGAAAACGGGTATCCCCATTTAGCATAAACGCAATGTTTTGAAACTTTAATTACATTGGTTTAGAGTTTATGTACGGTATAGACTGAGAATTTTAACATTTAGAGTATAATATTGTGTTTTAAAACTTGAGATAATTTGTATAAAATAATTTTTATACAACTTATACACCATTACTTTGAAAGCATTCATCCTATTCTGACAAGCATATATATGTTTAATATAATGTCTCAAAAGTTACCATAAATTAATAAAACACCATCTGTAATAAGCACCATAATTTGTTTTTTATTATTTCACCACTTTTACAGTAAACACTTTATTTCTGTTTATACTTTGTTGCTGTACATCAACGTGTAAAACCACGTTTTACTCCTATATTCTCGAGTTGACTTGCAGATCCAACTGCAACACTCATGACCTGCCTGCACCACTGCTACAGTAGTCCCATATTTTTTTTAATTTAAATTAAATTTATTAATATTATATATATATATATAATAATTATTTTTAATATTTATCGGGTTGAGTATCGAGCCGGGTAATCGGGTCGAGTAATCGGAGCGGGGATTACTAAACCTGTCCCCATCCCCGTCCCCGTTTAACATAAACGGATTTTCTCCGTCTCCGTCCCCATCCCCGTTTATCATCCCCAAATTCGACCCATTTAATTCAATTTTCGATTTTGACCGTCGATTCGAATTTTTTTATCATCCTACATCTAGTATAAAGCAAGACCAAATTATAAAGATGGCGTGGCCTTGTTTTCTCTTCCAGTAGTCAGTAGCCGCCAACCCAAAGATTATTTTTGGTAATTATTTTTTGGTTTTAAATAGGTGTTTCAATGGCAGAAGAGTGCGGCGCCCCTGTAAGTTGCGCGGATTTACCCGTTAAGAGGCCCCGAGAAGAAGAAGAAGAAGAAGAAAATGGAGCCTCTTCTGTTGCCATGGAAATGGAAGGCGATACCAATAATGGGATTTCCTCTGTTATCCCTGGATGGTTCTCTGAGATCAGCCCAATGTGGCCTGGTTCGTTTTCTTGCTCTTTAATTCCCTCTTTTCTTCCCTCTGTATTCATTCATTTTTGTTCTTGTATATTTTCCTGTCTGGGTTTCGATGTATGTTTTCATCTTTGTATATATGTTTGGTTATTTACCTATTTTATATAATGGGTCAGTTGAGTTCTGTGTTTTTGCTTTGGCTTTGAACTGTGTTTGAGTAATAAAATTTCTTTCGTGGTGCTTCTTTGATTGTGTAAGATATTCGGTCTTTCTAAGGCTAATTCTCTGTTTTTGAATTCATGGGTTGGTTTGTTTTCAACTTGTTTATCATAATTTTTTACTTTGTGATGCTTAAATTAGCTATGTATTTAGCTGTCATTTTCATTGAATGTTAGGAGATGTTGCTTCATTGACATCTCTGAGTGCATACTGCATACAGTTTGAAGTTTAACTTATTTTGGGATTAATTACACCTTAATAGATAAACGTTTCCATTTTATTTGTCTGCTTGAACTCCATACTGCTCGCATGTTGTCACTTATGTGTATCTCTTAATTGCAAATGTGTTTTATTTGTTTAATAACAAGGTTGATGCTAATCCATTACTGCTCATCTTGGGTTTATGGGTTCTTCCTCTAGTAATTATTGTGGAAATTATAGTGTGTTTTTTTAGAGAGCATGGGGTTTATATGTGTTTTTCCTGGGGCCTGATTCTGTTCCATATCTTAGGCTTTGTAAGTTTCCTTAAACTAAGAAAGATGCAAGGATGGAAGTAGCATAATAATAGACTTTTTATTTAGTTTTTGAGGAGAAAAGTATGTTTAATGTCTATTTTTGTACGAAATATGCAGGAGAGGCACATTCCTTGAAGGTTGAAAAGGTCTTATTTCAAGGGAAATCTGATTACCAGAACGTTATGATCTTTCAGGTATTTCTTGGACATGGGAAAATATGAATTTCTTGCTTTCTTTTTTTCCCTGTTTTGCTTCTTTATAAATTTTTATGTTATAAACACTGTATTTTCTGCAGTCATCCACATACGGCAAGGTTCTTGTTTTGGATGGTGTGATTCAGCTCACAGAGAGAGATGAATGTGCATATCAAGAAATGATCACTCACCTTCCGCTTTGCTCCATTCCAAACCCTAAGAAGGTATTTCAGTTAGTATATTACCATAATGTTGTGCGGAACTAACAACCTTAGGTATCAAAGTCGGTATTTATCTGTTTGAATATTATGAATTGTCTTATATCCTATTTGCATGCCCCAGTAAACATTTGAAGGGAATTTCTTGCTATAAGTATAATGTAGGGGCTGTATAATATTGCTGAGATTAATTGGAAATGGCATCCTATGTTGGTTTGAATTCCTATTTGCTGAGTTTTACATGTTCTTTTTTCTTCACTTTTTCCTTGAGGGGATTCCTGTCGCCTGAAGGAACTATTTTCGGGCAATGGTTTATTTCTGTTCAATAGTTTTTGGTAGAAGTTGGACATGCTTTAAATATAATCTGAGTTTTCATTTAATTTGGCTTCTCTTGGGACCTTGCTTTCCAGTATTGTACTAAGGTCACATTGTTTGACAGGCACCTGTTCTCTTCTTTAATTCCCACTGAGTTGTTTCTTTCACCAGGTTTTGGTTATTGGCGGCGGTGATGGTGGAGTTCTCAGGGAAGTTGCTCGTCATTCTTCTGTTGAGCAGATTGACATCTGTGAAATTGACAAAATGGTCGTTGATGTTAGTAATCTCTTCCTTGGCTTCCGAACATTCATGATTCGCAATTAGTTGTAATTGATTTTAGTAGACCAACTGGCGAGGAACTTCCATCCTTACATTGGTGAAACTTGTCTAATAACAATATGCATTTTTGTTTGTGCTAGGTTTCTAAACAATTTTTCCCTGATGTAGCCGTTGGGTATGATGACCCCCGTGTGAAACTTCATATTGGTGATGGTATGGTGAACTTCGTTCTTTGGCTTTTGTATACTCTATTACATAATATCAATCATTAATGTCCTTTTGTATTTCAGGAGTTGCATTTTTGAAAGCTGTTCCAGAAGGTACTTATGATGCAATTATAGTGGACTCTTCTGACCCTATAGGTAACGTTTTTTGGTGAAAATTTTGTATTGTTCTTTTTTGTTCTGAATGGTTTATAATCATTAATATTTGAGAATTGGAACATTGTTTGACATCCCAGGTCCTGCACAAGAGCTCTTTGAGAAGCCCTTCTTTGCATCTGTGGCAAGTGCACTTCGTCCAGGTGGTGTAGTCTGTACTCAGGCAGAAAGTATTTGGCTTCATATGCACATAATCGAGGATATTGTAACAAACTGTCGCCAAATCTTCAAAGGCTCAGTTAACTATGCATGGACTACTGTTCCTACATACCCAAGGTACCAATGACATTTCCTTCGTCTTTTGATGATTCGCTCTTTTTTTTTTTCATTCCATCCTAATATTGTCTGTGTTGATTTATGTTGTTAGTACCCTATCAAAGTCAACGGAGGACTTTCCCCTTTAAATGGGGTTCATCTTATATGCTACTGGATCATCATGTGATAACATCGTTGTGTTTGCATAACTTTCGTTTACTGTTATACATGTTGCCTAAAGCTGCTTATCATTGAACTCTTTATTTTGTTGTTACAGTGGGGTGATTGGTTTCATGCTTTGCTCAACTGAGGGACCTCCTGTTGACTTCAAGCATCCATTGACTCCTATAGACATAGATGATATCTGCTGCAAATCAAAACGACCTCTAAAGTTTTACAACTCCGAGGTGCAACTTTACTCCACTCTAAATTCTTTATAAATGCGTGAAAATAATTTGGTAGTCACCCTTATCCTTTTGCTTGTTCCGGATTGCAGATTCATTCGGCTGCTTTTTGTTTACCATCCTTTGCCAAGAAGGTGATCGAATCAAAACCTTAGGGATGAAAATTTTGAAGTAATATCAACAAAATGTTAGTTATTGTGAAGGGTTAGTTTTCATCCTTCGCTTGATGACCTAATGTAGCAATGAACCTTGGATTTGCACGTTTAGGTTACTCACTTGTTTTGTCTCACTTTGGAAGAGAATTTGTGGTATTGATTGTGGAAGGATACTCTTATATGAGTCTACAAATTCCACAATGGATTTATAGTCATTTAGATGAGACATAAATGGTTGTTTCTTTGGAATCATTTATCATATTCACATCTTTGTGTTGTTAGCATGATATATTCCGTGGATGTTTGAGATCTTTCTCTCTGTGTGTTTTTGAAGTATGTGATCAGGATTAAGTTAGCTTTGGAGGTTGTATTTTCATGTCATTAATCATGCTAAACCAGCTTCTGAAAAATTGTCTTCTCATGTCTAGGGTCTCCAGTATTAGTCCGTTGATCCTTCCAATGTAGGTTGCGTAATCCTATTTGCATAATGGTTCAAATATGTCGAGTTTTTCTTCTAGGGGTGTTGTCTAATACGGTAGTCACATGAATTCTGACTATATTTAGATTTTAGAGTCCGGCCAAAGTTTGATTTCCAGACATGAAAATCAAGAGGGCATGGAATTGATTCTACACAGCTATAAATATTTAGAGCCGAAGCCCTTAGATCGACCACTCTGCGACCCGTTGCAGACGACTTTTGTTTCCATGACCATAGCCTTGCTCACTAATCATCTCGAGAGTTAAATCATCAACGCCCTAAGAAAGGTTACCAACATAAAGTGAGCGTTCTAATGATAAGTAATATCATGAACCTTGAATTCTTTAAGTATTCAACATTCCATACTGTGAATACTTAAGTAAAAGGGTCCATAATGCTTTCCAATAAATGCTTGATTGAACTACCGATGGACATGCATTTCTGTAAAGTTTCATGCAAATATACACGCATGCATACATACACATACATACATGGTAAAAGAATGAAACAAAAATATATATACATACAACCATACATAAATGCGTACATATCACCCACAAATGTATAAACGTATAACTAAGTGACTTTGATGGTTAAGAGATGTTATTATTCTTAGAGGTTTTAGGTTTGAATATAACGTTTGTAGGGATACTTAAGTATTTATTGTTAAATGGTTGAAAGTCCTTGATGAAATATCTGGGAGATGTTTCACATTGTTAAAAGTTCAAAAGATACAATGGCCAAGTTGGTCGGCTTTTTGGCCCAATAGGGCATTTAGGTTTAAAATTTAGGGTTTTACCCATCTTTAGATTTTAATTAGGGATCTACGACATTTGTTATAGTGTTGAGCGAACTCGTCACCTTGAGGTGACGAGTTTCTTGAAATATTATTTTGTAATGGACTCGAATGAGTGGATCCCACATAGGTCATAAATTTATTGTTTTTAAGCGGACTTGTCACCTCGACGTGAGTCCAATAAAAATTATTTTTTATTATTGAGAAAATTTTTGAAATTAGAAATTAAAAAAAGGGTAATCGTCACGTCGAGGTGACGAGTTCCTTCGAATTCAAAAACTAGCTGTTGGTCAACAGGTAGTTGTGCAACGGTCACTTGGAATTCGTCACCTCGAGGTGACGAGTTCTTCCGTATATTTGTATTATAGCCGTTGGATTTGGGGCTATAAATAGGGTTTGAGGTTTTTATTTTTAATCAAACCCTAAATTCAAAAAAATTATAAAAATATGACTTTCTATGAAAATCCTGAAAAATGACTTCCTAAGCATAAATGTTGTGACTTGACAACGTCCATATTTTATCGATTGAACTTTGGCCAGAAGAAGAATGGGATATTCGTCAGCGCGAGATGACTACGAGAGATCAGCATCCGCGGATGTTGATATATCTTCAGCAATCGAGTTTTTCCTCATCCATATTTGTATGTGGCTTCAAGGTGTACCCAATGTTAATTCAGGCTCTGATTGAACGTTGGCGACTCGAGATGCACACTTTCCATTTCTCGAGTGGTGAAGCGACGATTACTTTGGAAGACATCATTTACCAACTCGGTGTTCTTGTGAATGGAGCCCCTATGGGGAGGCGGACAATTACGAGACCAAGACGTTGGTCTACGAAGTTTTGGGAAAGGTGTCACCATCCTAGTTCATCGATGGCTATCGGGTATGGATGATGTGGTTGGAGTCCAAATTCCAAGTGACCAAAGACTCTACTGAGGATGAGGTTATTTTTGTATTCCAAACATATTTTCTCCAACTGACCAGAGGGATATTATTATTGGATAAATACAGTAATTTGACGCGCACTAAGTATCTTCGAATATTAAATGATTTTGCTAAGTATCGCAATATAAGTTGGAGCTTGGCGATTTTAGTCTTTCTGTACTGGGGGCTTTAAGGATGCAATTGTCGAGCGGAGTCGAAAAATTGATGTAGTAGACAATCTAATATTGCTACAATTGTGGGCTTGGTACCAGTTCCCGTTTTTTTACCCTATTACAACAATCTCGGTCGAGTTTCCTCTTGCTGGAAGATAATTTTTTTTTAACTTTATTTTTAAATTCGAATTAATTTTTTTATTTTTTTATTTTTTTCTATTTTTAAATATTTTAGATGGCACCATAAAATAAATGAGACGAAGTTGTCGGGTGCCACTGCAAAAGATATATGGATGAGGATCAACATCGTCGGTCGATATGCGGTATACATTTGTTTTTTGTTATTTTTTTAAAAAAGATTTAATCTTTATATATATTGTTGAGTTAATCGATCGACGAAATAACCAAGAGGGGGTGAATTGGCAATTTAAAATTTTGTGGAAGCTTTTGCAGAAAGTAGAAAATATTTGCACATCGATTTAGAGTGATTCGACTTTCTCAACTAAAGTCTACGTCCACTACCTTAGCTATCCACACTAAGGATTTTTCCAACAAATTCACTAATTTGTTCTTTCTTTTGAGGACAAAGAGTAACCTTACAACTTCAAGAATTATACCCTAAATTATTGAGAACACTCTCTCTCAAAGAGAAATACATAAATTTTGCAAACTTACATAAAAACATCACAAGACAAGACGTTTGCATAATTCTAGAACAACGAAAGAACACTAAAAATTGAATACAATTGAGCACCAGTGGTGTTCTTGAAAGAAAAATGAATATTGAATAAAAATAGGCTTGAAAATACTCAAACTTGAGGTTTGATGCTTTTTCTTTGATTCTTTAGCTTCTCTTCTTAATTGTTGTTGATCAATGACTCCTAAGCTTGTTTAAATACACCTTGAATTGATTCTGAACGTTGGGAATCATTGGTGAAGTCAATAGAGTCGTTATGGTGTAATTATCATTTAAAAAATTTGTTGGGAGCGTAGGTGCATCGGTACACTCTCAAGGGTGTATCAGTACACTGTGTGTAAAATTCAAATATTGTAACCGTTATATGACGGAGTGTATCGCTACACTCCAGGTGCATCGATACACCAATTGCATTTGATGTTTTTAAGAGCCATGAATGTATCGATGCATTGTCTGTGCATCGGTACACAAAATACATTCGATGTTGGGTGTGCATCGATACATCCAAGAGTGTATCGGTACATCCCTTTGTAAAAATAATTTTTGGCTCGATTATGGTTCGAAATACTTTGTAAAAATTGTTTCAAAAATATTTTAACTTTAAAACATAATTTTACACTTTATTAAGGATTGAAATTGACCTTTGAAAAACTTGGAGTAATATTTTGATATTCGAATAATTTAATCGAATATACTTTAAAAATGATTATAAAATCTTAAAATTCAATAACACTTAATTTGTTATATCGAAATATTAAAATGTTTTCAACAATTTCCCCCTTTTGGATATAACAAAACATTTAAGTAATTTTAAGATTTTCTTTAAAAAATCATTTGAAATCAATTTGGTAAAATTACTCCCCCTTACTTTATTCTCCCCCTTTTTGTTAAATCAAAAAGGCTCTATAAAATGTTTTTAAACAAGACATTGTAAGAAATTTAGCTAATTAATATTTAGATTAAGTTTAAGCTGCTAAGATTACAACCAAGAGAAAGATTAATCATTAGTTCATAAACAATATTCATAAATAATGTGTAATGGTAAAATTGGTCATAATTTGTCTAAAATGTAAATGATGCAAAATTATTAAACCAATATAAACATGAAGCTCAAATTAAATATTCAAACCAAACTTAAACAATCAAAACCAAATATATAAATAAGCATTCAAGTTTAAACATCCATACCCTCCAAAACAAATCAATCCAAAAACATCCAAAATGTTTTAACAATTAAGTTCTAAGTTCAATCCAAGAAAACTAAGCAAGGCAAGGTCTAATCATCCATAGGTGGATCGGGAGGAGGAGGATAATGTGCTCGCATCTTGAGCGTAATCGCATTTAATCGTTCGTTCATAACTTCATTGTTTGTGCGCATCTCTCGTTGAATTTCCAATTGTTGAGCCCTCATAACGGTTAAATGAGACTCTATGGATGCAAACCTCAGATTAAATGACTCCAAAAACGACCGAAAGTATGGAGGCATTTGATCCTCTTACTGGACCAGCTCGTCATCGAGTACATGATCGTCAATATCTCGCATAAGCTCTTGAAGCTATGGATCATCGTCAGCTACTGGTGTCGGAGGAGCTCGTGAAGAGCTAGCTCCCGTGTTTTTTCGGTGGATCGAACCCATTGATCCTTGTCCCCGAACCATCGCGATTTCTTCAAGGTTGTGAAATTTATTTGGTTCTTGAGAGGGATGGGTACATCAAGCAAGACCCGAATGTTGGATTTGATAAACAAGTTGCTAAGAAGACAATCGTAAACTAAGGTTTCGACATATTTGGATGGGACATTGTTCACGGTTTTAACTAGCTCACCAAAAATGATTTGTGTCAAATTTATTTTCTTTTTATGTTGGATACAATGTATCCACTATAAATCTAAAACTCTAAGGGATGAGTACCTACCTCCGATGGTCTAAACCACTAAGAGATGGTCAAGTGAAAAAAACGCTCGTGATGAGTTCTTAAGGTACTTGCACTAGCCTTAGCTTTATAAGGTGTTGCCACAATCTCTTTTTCGTTATCTAAACCTACGTTATATAGTCCAAAGGTATTAGCGATTGTGTCAGAGTCAATATAAACGAATTGACCTAGAATATAAGATCGAATTCCTATGGTTTCGGTACGAGACTCGTTTTGGACACAAACCGCATTGGAATAGAAAATACGGACTAGTTGGTGATAAACGATAGGTTTGAGGTGAAAAGGTTTATCAAATTTTCAAGAACGGAGAGT